GCTATTGTCTTTGCAATGTCTACTTGTGTTTCAGCTGTTGTTCCATCCGGCCTCTGGACGTGCCGAATGGTGTCTGTGCGTCTACCACCTAAGAATTTTTTAGCAATTTTGAAAACTTGGTTGAGTGGTGTCTGGCTGTTGATTTTGGAGATGTATTTTTGGAATGATTGTCTTTTGCTCTCCCTGAGGCATCTACGTGCCACTGATATGATAGTATGAATAAAGAAATATTGATAGTGTGTCTCCGCCAATTCACAGACAAGTAGCCTAGATCTAGTCAACAGTCGCCCTTCGGTCATTAGTCAACCTCTAGATTCTAGATCTAGATCTAGATTCTAGATCTAGAATCTACTTTCCGAACTGCACTCTTTGCTGGGTGCACTACAAAATCTAGCTAGATTCTAGATCTAGAATTTAGATCGTTTATTCATTCTCTTTCTCTCTGGGCTAAAATAAATCAATTCTAGTAGGCCTAGGCTAGACATAGATCTACCACCTGAGATGATCAGTACATGTAGTAGCCTTGCATTGTAACCAATGTAAATTGTAATCTATAGCCAGTCCAGCGAGTTATATGCGCAGCTGCAAAAGTGGGAGGGGCCTGCACTTGGCCCATGACATAACATAAAGAAGAGTTGTCCCGTCTTGGTATAGGCTCAGAGAGTATTTCATTTTATGACCATACTTGGAGCTGTTTTAGCATTGCACTTCCGGTAAAATATATCCTTATATTTCACGTGTGAAATATATAGGCTGGCAAAGCTGAAATCTCACACGTGAAATATAAAAATTTGCATAAATTACTCCGCGCGCTAGATCTATATTCGCCTTCTACTTCTATCCCTCTGTGTAGGCTAAGCAAAGTAGCCTAGATCTAGATCTACATCTAGATCTAGTAAAAACTTAAAAACTTCGCTGCAAAGCGCGGTCACCATGGGCAACCAAACACTTCTCCCAGTCTTGCTGTCCCATATAGCCGAGTATAGGGGCAAATCTTTCTACGTTGCTCTTAATTTTGTTTCAAATAGAGTCAAATGATGAGCACAGTAATGAACCGGGTTTACGCCAGAGTATGGTGCTGTTACGTTCGGTTCATTTCTCTAATAAAATAACAAATGGTGGACAGTAGATCTAAATACATTTTAATTAGATCTATCAAACAAAATGATAAATCTACAACACAACTAAATAAATAGCACCACTTTTGCACTTAGAATCTAGATCTAGATCTAGACCCTAGGTCACCCTAGGTCTCTGGCCCATATCAGCTTGAATAAATGAAATGATCATGTAAGATTTACAGAGGTTTGAAATTTTGTAGTCACTTTATCAAACAATAAAAAAGCCACTGTTTAGATCACTTGCGTTGCCTTTTGAATATTCGTTTACAATAATTCTATCACTACATATACTAAATGATCAACTATATAAATGAAAGAAGATTAAACTTTAAAACAATATGTAATTGATAAATATGATATTAGTCAATATACGAGTATAACACTCTTGGATAATTACTTTTTTGGGAAATAATAAAAGTTACTTCCCTTGTTATTCTGATATTCTTACCTCCCCTTAAGAAATCCAGAATATCGGAAATCGATAGACAAAAACTAGATATCTAATAAAATATTTAGAATTAGCACATCAATATCCAAGTAGCTTGACAACTTGTGTTGTTAAAAAAGCCTTTTTTTCATCTTTGACCAATTTAAAGCAATGCATTAGATTAAGATCTAGAATCTAGATCTAGATTTCTAGATCTAGAGTCTAGATTTCTTCTAGATCTAGATCTAGATCTAGATTCTAGATCTAGTCTAGAGAATAGAATCTAACTCTTTGCCTTTGGTTTGTTTTGGTTACGAAGTTTGAAATCAAAATCAAAGTCATCTCTATTCTAACAAACAACATGCCATATTAATGCAGTTTCATTCAACTTTTGAATCGTACGTTTTCTGATTACTTTGCTTATATTTACGTTATGATAGTTTTGTTTGGGGTTTGTTTCGCGGAAGGAGACATACGGATAGCAATAGCACAACTTGTAAATTAGCGTGGCTAAAAGTAAAGGAAAACAATCCAGATTTTCCCCAATTCTCAATCTGACTTCGACGGGCATGAAAATGTTTTCATGTGAGACTCTAGAATGGATCCTCTTGTCCAAATGACGGGCCCTTTGAACTTTGTTGGTACGGACGTATTTCGCCAGCTGACATCAGTATGGTATAAAAAATTTATTACACTCGTTGTGGCGTTAGACCATGATTTATCCTACTTGTGAAATTGCCCGTTGTAATCACTCGTTGAAACTCGTGATTACAACTTGGCAATTTCACTCATAGGATAAAGCATGATCTTACATCACAACGAGTGTAATAAATTATTTTTATTTAAGAGTCTCTGATAGGCCCTAGGGCTAGGCAGCCAGGCCTAGGCCTAATTGGTCTTGGATTACACAGTGACAGTACCTAAATATAGCAAGGCAGACCCGTCAGTTGCACACCTGCACACGTCAACACACAGTGCGGCTGTGCTGACACGCAGCGAGTGTGCCTCGCGCTCGCTGAGACACCAGCGCCAACGTACAGGCGGCTGTGCTGACACGCAGACGGCGTGCGCTAGGCGAGCTACAGGTCAGACCTACAGACCCACTCTGGGACCGGCCTCTCGCCTAGCTCGCACCGAGCAAATGAACACTAATTAATACTATACATTATCGTGAGCCTGAGCAGCGTCGCTGTATCGTCTGTCTGTTGTCCGCTGAGCTGCGCGACCCGTCAGACGTGCTAATAGCACAACAGTATTGTAAAAATGGCGGATGTGTGTCGCCTCGTTTCGGGTTTATTTTCGACTGAAACTCTTCACAGGTCATCAAAATCTGCAAGAAGTAAGTATTATTTGGTGCTTGACTATTAAATTTCGAAGCTAGCATCAACACTTGACCACAAAATCACCAAGAAAAGCACTTTATCATACATTGAAACTTCGAATCGAGATGTTGACCTAGTTTTGACTGTTTGTCGTATGCTAGGCCTAGGCCTAGATCTAGGAGTGCTTCTCTAGATTCTAGATCTAGATTGAGATGCAGAGGGATGTCCCTAGAAATGCCAAGATTCTAGACAGATCTATATATATATAATAATTCATATCTGATCTAGATCAAGGTTTAAAGTGTTCACCCCAGAATCTATCTCGACTTGATAAATTCTGAATATCTGGTGTGCAATGTCCGTAGATCTCGATCTACATCACTCTAGGCCAAAGTGACCCTGTAGAATCTAGTTAATAATCACCAAAGAACAGTATGCCTAACATTCAAAACTGTTTCATTGCCACGGAAATAGCATGTTCACCCCTATCGGGCCACTCAACAAGCAGTCGCAAGCTTTGATTAAGTAAGCTTGCAGTGAGGCTGGAAGAGTCTACCAACAGAGTTGACGGAACATGTATAAAGCACTCAAAGCTGTTTCATAGCCACATACATATACCCTGTTCACCCCTTTCGGGCCACAATTATAAGCAGTCATAAGCACTGATTATGTAAGCTAACAATTACTCTGGTCGAGTCTACAACACATATGAGGGGAACTAACTCCTAATAATATCTTGACTGCTGCGAGTTCTTGTTTTTTTTCCCTCGACTTTCTACCGTCCTAAAATCAGATCGTGACCTCGATTATGACACCGGCTCCTGGCCGCGAAATGCTAGGCATAGACAAAAACAGCCAAATGTGAAATAAAAAAATAATAATTGCCATGTTCTACAAAAGAGTTTAGACACACTGGTGTTACATGTAGAACGCGTGCTCATATGACCTTAGCAGTTGCGAGCGCCGTAAAACCTTATACTACTACTACTACATGTAGAACTGACATCTCTGCTTCTTTGCTTTGTGTTTGTGTATTCACTTAAAGATAAATGTAATGTTTGTGGGAGTAAATATTTAATGAAATGAGATTCTTTCCCGATTATTTTAGCGGTTGAACATGCATACAACATAAATTTAGGATTTGTTTTCATTCACAACTCAGCGTTGCCGCCTTGAGTAAGATTCTTGTGTGATATCTCCAGGCCCTATCTGGTCCCATCTCTCTTTGATTACCTTGTCAAGCAAGTCAGCCTTCACCCCTGTTACATTTAGATATCTTGATGTAGATCTAAATCTAGATTCTAGATCTAAACTGAACTAAAATTATACATCTAATCTAAATCTAGAGATAGATTATCTTGGCTATCTAGAATCTAGAGATAGGGCCAATAAAGATCTCGAATCTAGATCTTTGATCT